TGACTTATGAAAATATAGGAATGAATATTTTATTTATAACACATTAAAAACTAACAAACCTACTTACATTTGTATCTATAACTCAAAATAAGAGGCCAATGACTGTCATATGGTTTTCATAACCTTAAAAACAGTGATTGGCCAGTTGGTCAATGGTTATTGTATAACAATAAGTTTTTGAGCTTCTTAAATACTATAATATTACTTTTATTCGGAGCAGAAAAACTTAATTAATATTAAAATGTTTATAATTTAGAATATAATGATAGTATTTTTTTATATTTATTACTTCTTTACTACATGGCCAATTAGGTTTTTTTTTTTTTTTTTCTTTTCTTTTCTTTTCTTTTTTTTCTTTTTTTTACAGTTCTTCGTTTAAGTCGAAGTTTTCTTCGGGGAAATCTCCAACCTTCACGTGCGTCGGTTTCACGAATCCGCCGTACTTCGGTGCGCATTCGAAGTATCTTTTGCCACCAACACTGTCGACGAAATACACAAATGTTTAATTTTACAGAATTTCTCGGTGTGAGATGAAAAATCAAGGCCGAACATTTTACCTGCCGTCATTCTTGCCGAGAGGTTCGTCGTACTTGACACCGATCCAGCAGCCTTCTTTAAACTCGGTTTTACCTGACAATGACAAACAACATTTAAAGAAACGTCAGAGAAACACGCGTTTCGCGTGTAATGAATTAACAAAATTCTCTCTACCAACCGATATACAAAATAGTGGCTCTTCGCTTCGGTTGATTCGGAACGGACACTTCGCAGCGATCTCCGACCTTGCACAATCTGGCCATCTCTTCCTCCGTCTCTTCCTCTCGTTTCTTTTCCTCCGCTCTTCTCCTCATTTCTTCCTCATTGTATTTGCCTAACTTGTTCTTTTCCAAAAATGCCTTAACAGTATCTACACAAATTACACACTAATAGAGAATCTCTCTACAAATTGATTAAAAGCAAACATACGAGACACTCATATACCTGTTTTCTTAGCATATTCTTCCTCGGATATTTCAAACTTTTTCACATTTATGTCCTCCGCGGTGCACGAGAAGTTGTCAATGACCTGAAAATTTGGCGACAGCCACATTTTTACTTACATTTCTGTGTACTTTTCATTATTCGAATTAGCTTCAGCCAAGTGAGATTTCACTTCGCGCAACACACAGCTAACTCACGTGTATCCTCATGCCGTCGTCGATTGGATATGATCCCAAGAGACGCTGTCCTTCCGTCAGCTTGCAAACGAGCTTGTCGTTTTTATCATAGACCTCGACCGTCATTGTGGCCGAATTGCCACCCGTGAGAAGTTCCAATTTGCCCTGCAATTTTCGTATCGTGAAGACAAATCGAACGGTGCTGTGCGTTTCAAGACCGATCTCCGACGGAAGAAAACCGATAGAGATAAGACAATCCCTTACCTTGAATTCGTCAATAGTGATGCTTTTTTGAAATCGACGCTCGACGTAACACGATTCCCGAGCCGAGTTCGTGATCGACAGATTCACGAAATCGGTCGTGATCACGTTGTAAGTTGTCATTTTTTTTACTAATTAAAAATGCGGCGTGAATTAAAACCACAAAATAGGTTAAACGATTTTTGAGACGCGAAGTTTACGTCTACGCTATGATCGTGAACGAACGGACGCGTGCGAATTTTATGGGATTTTTTTTATTTAACAAATTCACACAATTTATTTGTATAATTTATTAACAAAATGTATACACAATTATTTCAGTTCCGGTGCGCTTCGGTGGAAAAACGTTTACACACAAATCGACCTGTCAAAAGTGCCCTCTCCCTCACTGCGCTCACTATGACATCTGTGCCCACGCACTTCTAACTTTTACCACGTGTCCACGGAACCATAGACGTATCTACGGCCGGAAGGTGGTAGACCAAGATATCGAAAGAGTGAAAAAAAAAATTCAAGTCAAATGATGGGATAATCAAAAAATTCATCAAAAATATTAGTCATTAATAAATAGAACGCCAATTGTGTTAAAGAAAATGTAAAGAAATATATTTACAAAATATATATATATATATAAATTTCTCAGAAAAGAGGTAGTACAGAACATAGTTTACAAGAGACAATGACATTTACAATGTTTTATTCTTTTTTTTTTTTTTTTTTTTAATATAATATATTGTATATTATTAAACGCGCGCGCGATGTCACGTCATCAGACGACTATCGATCGAAATTACACAGTTTAATAAGAAGGCTCAAAAATAATGCACAGTATCTTCTACAATAGAAACTATTCATTAAATTCATTTATTTTTTTCGTAAGCAAATAGTTAGTAAGGTAAATGACCCAGTCGTTGTCAACGACCCAGTAGTTGTCAATGAATAAAAAATCAATAATTCACAATTATAAGAAGTATAAAAGGCTCTAAAAAAATTTTTTCCAATAAAAATAGTGATGTATTTTCAATTTGTTTGCCAAAAAACTCGTGTAAATTATAAAATATAGTAAGGAAAATAATAATTATGAAGTGTACGTCACTGAATGTAGCCCTCGGCTGCTGTTACTTAGCGTCATCGCTAAGCGACCAGATGTGGAGAAATTGATGTTAAGAAATTCAGTGAAACTTTTGGAGACTTTCATCGAGTTAAATTATTAGTTTTCGTCACAATGGGGAAGGAAAAAAAGGTAAAAATAAGAATTAATTATGTAAAATAAGTTTAAATTCACTATTAACTACTGGGTCCGCTTATGTACTTCGGGAGCAGTAGTTGTTAGTACCTGACAACTATTGAGTTTAATCTTACTTTTCATTAATTTATGTTTTATAAACATGTAATGTCGTGTTTTATCTAAAATTTAGTGAAAACATTGTATAAAAATGCCTGATTAATGAAAAAGCGTGTCAAAATAATCAAAACAATAACCTAACCTAGCTTATATCAAATCAAGTTGTGGTTGAGGAACATTTCACTGATTATTTTTTAAACCAATAAGTAATGAGAACAAAAAAAAAGACTAAAGTAAAAAAAGAAAAATTACCAGCTACAGCCACAAGTCTGGAATGGAGATGTTATCATGATTTGAAAGAAAAACAAAAAGCACAAGATAATTTGGAAAAAGCTGAAAGAAAAAAAATCAAAGAAGAAAATCTTACAATAAAAAAGGAGTTTGAAGAAAAAACTTGAAGAATTTAAGGTCTGACAAAAACGATTGTCAAAAAGAAATATGTCTTTTAAATGCTAAAATCACAAAAAATAAGGCCGAATTAAAGTTATTACTTTTGAATTTAAAAAATAAGCAGAGTGAGTTTTCTGAGGACGAAGCAAAACTGCAAATCAACAATTTCAATGACTCCATTCGAAGTGACCAAAATCAGCAGCAACAATTAAAGAGAAAAATTGAATCGCTAAATTTGAATATAAAAAATTTCAAATTAAATAATGAAAAAAGAAAACCTTTGAAAATTGTTAATTAATTTATTATTCTTTTAGTCATGTGATTGCAATAATAATTTATTATTTTGTTGTGTAGTATATTAAGTGAACTGGTGAACTCTTGCTCGTAGTATTTATTTTTATTTATAACCTTACTTATCTAATACAATCATTGTAGCCTTGAGTAATTGCTGAATAAAGTTCAAAATATGATAACACATTCCTTATTCCTTTTTTTCACTATCTTTAGCTTTAAAGTAGTTAAATTAATTCATTTTTTATCTCGGTAGCGATTATTAACTACTGGGTCCAACCGTTATCAACTACTGCTCCAAGCCGTGACGTCATTGACAACTACTGGGTCTGTCGTTTTTTTTTCTTTAGATATTTATTTAATATCTGAACGAAAAAAATGAATTCGTTTTGGCTTTATTACATTATTAAATAGGTAAATTACACATTAGAAAAAAAAATCTTCATTTTCTATTAACTTTCAATAGTTTACAGCACATTTCCCTTACGTTGACAACGACTGGGTCATTTACCTTATATAAATTAATATGGGAGTTAATTGTAATTTTTTTGTTATTTACGAAACGATCTTAGACAAAATATTTCTATACGATCACTTGTTTTTTTTTCAGTGATGTTGTGGTTTTTTCGTTTTCTGTTTTTTGTTTTTTCCTTTTTACAAGAGTTTACTCTTCAGTATTTCGTAAACCATTTTGTTTCTAAAATACGGCATGTCTTCCTGTGTGAATGACAACTTCTTGTTCGCACATACGTACTCGGCGAACATGCAGGAGAACACACCGCAGTCGCTCCCATTCATCTGCTGTGGAATGTTCTTGGCGCACTGCAGCGTCCAGTTGCTCATGTCGTACGGTTGTTTCTTCTTGTCTAGACTTTCGTCCTGCAGGTAAGTCTTCAACGCGGCCAGACACTTGGAATTGTTGCCACCCATGCTGTCGTAATAAGTGATCGTTTTATCACGGAAGTCTACTATCGACATGCACCAGTGTATGTCGAGATGTACGGGTATGACGACGAGATCCTGCGCGAATATATCAACTTTTCTCGTCCATCGTTTCAGAGACGAGTGACCGCCCGAGAGCAATTTAGGGTAAAAGAATGTGTTCATCGCGTGTACTTTTGGATATTTGTCCGAACCGGCACCTCTGGCGATTAACAGATTCATGTAAAAGTTTATGACTTCGTCGTTCAGCCAATTTAAACCAGACAATGTGTGAAGGTCCTTTCGTGTGATTCGGAGACCAAAACCTTCCGCAAGTATCTCGTTAGGTGGAGAAGGTACGAGGGCGCTTCTTATCTCCTGTACCATGTCATTGGTCAATTTTGGTAAAGCTGGTTCTTCTGGCTCTTCCCTGTCATCTACAATGGTCAGGCACAGTTTCATAGAACGCGCCAGCTGTTCTCCCAGAGCATTCTCTCGCACAATTCTGTTGTGCTTTGACAGAACAGATGTGAGCTTCTTCAATTCTTCGGCTTCTTTGTGCCGCTGCTCAATCCGCTGGTCGTATCTCTTGGCGACCTGCGATATAAAGTCTGGTTTCATGACAGCTCTAGCCGATAGCTTGTCGCGCAAAGAATTTGTCGGAACAACTGGAATAGGCAATTTTGTTTTCGGTTTGCTATTATCTGCAGATGGTACTGGCATGGTGACATTCATTAAGAATCTTGTTCTGTCACTAACAACTGACGAAATGGGTCTTGATGCGTTGAAAGTCATCGTGGATTTTCTTGACGCACTGCTACCATCCAACATAGATTTCCTGGATGTGCTACTTTTATCTAACGTAGATTTCGCCATTTGTCTGGCATTAGGTACATTGTTAAGTGTAATTATCTTGTTAGACTGCCAACAAGTATTGTAGTTGCTTTTGAATTTCTTTGGGGTCCTGTATTCTTCCTCATCGGAGCTGTAGGTGTCTGTTTCAAGTTTACGTTTTTTAGATCCTTCATCCACCCATCCAAGGAGCTTCTTCAGAAAATCGAATATCATTGTCATTTTTGACACACATATGTTTGTCCATCCAATAGTTTCAAAATACTTAATCACATTTGCATTTTTTTAGTAAAACAACCGCATCTAAAAATCAATAAATTTCTCTGTTACATGCGTCTTTAACATGTAACTAAATCTAATATATATCAAAATGTAGATACAATTCTCTCTTTATTGTGTCTATTACAGACAAAAAAATTTACGCAGTAAAGCTTCACATGTGACAAACTATAAATATTAAAGTCAATATCTACATTTTTGTTCTTTTTTATACTTCGTTTTTACCTTGTATCAAACACATATAAAATGTCTATAAATAATACATGTCTATAAATAATAATGACATTACGTGCACGCTTGTACCAAATTTTTCACTGCAGAATCCTAAAATTCAAGCAACATTAGATCTAACAAGAAAATAAACGATCAGAAAGCGAATATCAATATCTAAAGTTCTTAAAGTTCTGTCAAAAGTGTTCTCGGTGAAAACTTTCGCGAATTGTTCGCGAAACATTTGTACGAAAATAAATTACCTGAAAGATTTACAATTAGAAAAGTATCATTCCGTTATGGCATCGCCAATTGTGAGTAATTATTATTCGACGGAAACAGGATCTCACTAACAGTAAATGTACGCGCACTGACAATAAGGTTAAGTTTACTCCGAGCGGCTCGTACACAAATCAATATAAAAAAATACGGGAATGACCATTCCCGCGAATTTCTCCAAAACGATTCAAGCGTCCTCTGTATCGATTTCAGTTAACTCGAGCTCTGAAGGTCCGGTTGTTGAATTAAAAAAAAAAAATAATAAAAAACAATTAGACGCTCTGGAAAAATAACAGCAAATTTTCATTTTTGTCAAATCGAGTGGTTCGTACCACATTTTATGCAGATAGTTTGGTGCGTGTATGGCTATTGGACCGATTAGAGCTAGTCCATACGCCATTCTCTATGTAGATATATTTGCAAGCAGCAGAGAGAAGACTGACAAGAGCGGCCTCATAAGAGAATGTGCAATCGTTTTTCCGTTTTGTAAGCCAGCGCAATGTCCATGGGTGGCGCACATTGGCAACTACATATTTATGTCCACGAACGACTTGTCGGTACGTACATTATGTTCTAACGTGGACATGATTCTATTCCGTGCTATGTGCGCAAGTCCAAGTGTCGAGTTGAAAAAAATCGAACAGTAAAGTCACGTAATAAACATCACGTATAAACTTTAATCACGTGTTGTTTTTACTCTTCTTCCAGTCCTGTTTTTCCTTTAGTCACGTTTTCGAAGACACGTGAATAAAATCCAATATTAACGAGTCGAATCGAATCGGTAAGATCGAGAGAGTAATTAATGAAAAGCGATTTTGAGACAGGTCGTCGTATATGTAGAAAAAATTAAAAACGTAACTAAAGTCACGTGACAGGAAAGAGACAAATAACACGTAAAAATAACGTGACTGTAATTTATATTATATATAACATTAAATAATACATATTATACATATAATTTATTATATATTTATAATATTATACTTTATATTGTAATTATATGTATTATATACATACTACAGTAATGTCACTGACCTCCGCCGCGCGACTTTGGCGGGGTCACCGACCTCGGCCGCGCGGCCTTGGCGGGGTCACTGACCTCGGCCGCGCGGCCTTGGCGGGGCACTGACCTCGGCCGCGCGGCCTTGGTGGGGGGGGAGGTCACTGACCTCGGTCGCGCGGCCTTGGTGGGGGGGGAGGTCACTGACCTCGGTCGCGCGGCCTTGGTGGGGGGGGAGGTCACTGACCTCGGTCGCGCGGCCTTGGTGGGGGGGGAGGTCACTGACCGCGGCCGCGCGACCTGGGCGGGGTCAATGACCTCGGTTGCGTGATTACGGTATATATACATATATGCGTATGTATGTGTATTATATATATGACGTGTTGTTTTTCCACTTCTCTCTCTCACTATTTTTTGAGTTTGATTTTCATGCGTCATTTCTGACATTTCTCATATGTGTATTATATATATGGTTTATAAGACGTATATACTATTTGTCATCGCGGTAACAGGTTGTGTTCACTGACAACACGTTAAATAAAAATAACAATAGCGTGCGCGTAGCGCGCGCTTGTGTTGTGCTAGTAAAGAAAAAAACTGTAAGATCAAACTGTATAATCAACTGAAGCTTACTTATCGACAATCTTTGTGGATATGATTTTCGCAATAACTTGATGAGCTTTGTCGCCGCCAGTTGTCACTTTTGTAAATAAACATAAATCTGGTATATTTGTACGGAATTTATGTTTGTGTGTTTATATCACTACAACAAAATTCTGATAAGTAGCGGTATTATAAAGCGTCAGTTAATGATCGATTATAATTGTTTGTGTATGATTTATCATAATGTGTTAAAACTCAAGTTAGTTTTGTTTTTTTAGTTTTTTCTGTTTTTATGTTTTATGAGACGTAAGTTTAATTAGTTTGCTCGTTTTATTATTTTGCATTTTCATCACAACGCTGTTATTATTGTTATGATTAATCTGGGTCAGTATTTCTCTACTGGTTTTCTGCGTGTAAAAGATACATGCGTATACGGAGATTTATTTCGCAAGTGAAAAGTCCCGACGTTTAGTTTCACACATGAATAACGTTAAGCAAGGATTTATTGCTGTACACGTGGGTAAATATAATCACATATAAAGTTTGTAAAATTGATATTGTTACACATCATATGGAGATGTTATTTCGCTATTGTTTTAGGTGCTGGGCAACATTCGACATCACTTAAAGAAAAATATCAAAAGCTATGTCGTGAAGCATGCAAAATTGTAAGATGTTCAGACAATCTGATTGCAAACTAAATAATTACTAATTTTTTGTAACATATGGATCTTGTATGTTTACTTTTCTCATATTTTCTACATAATAGGGAGCCGAAAGTTTAAGATCTGGTAACAATGTATTGGATGCAGTGGTTGAAACAGTAATGGTTCTGGAAGATTCTCCTATGACAAATGCTGGATTTGGATCAAATCTCACTTGGGAGGGAACAGTGGAATGCGATGCAAGTGTGATGGACGGCAGCAGCTTGCAGTTTGGCGCTGTTGGCGCTGTTAGTGGAATAAAAAATCCTGTTCTGTTGGCAAAGCGTCTGTGTGAACAACAATCCATTAAGTTTGCATACGGCAGAATTCCACCCAGGTATACAGTTAGCATTTCTATTTGTATTTTGATTATTGTCAGAGACAAATTATTACAGTTTATATGAAATTTTATAGCTTCTTGGTAGGAAACGGTGCGTATATTTGGGCACATGAAACAGGCATACAAACCATACCACCAGAAGAATTGATATCAGGTATGTAAATACCATTTATTGTATCGTAATACACATAAAATGTCAGTATTCTGTTTCAGTGAGAGCTCAGAAGATATATAAACATTATAAAAGAAAAGTGGAAGGCTCTAGTATAGAAGCTCAGAAGGTATAAAGTTGCTCGACGTTTAATCTTGATTTGAAAACAAATTTCTTTCTTGTTGATACTGGATAGATGTGGTTTTCGTTAAGAGTAAAATTCTATGCCACAGTGTGCCAAGAAAAGAATGGACACGGTAGGTGCAATATGTGTCGATGATAACGGGAACATCGCCGCAGCCTGCTCAAGCGGTGGTATTATTCTGAAATATCCTGGAAGAGTTGGGCAAGTGGGTGGTCACACTTCGGATATTAAGTTTCATGTTTTTAAAATAATCTCGTAAGAAACGTTTATCAAATTTTATCCTAACGTTTTGTTCTTAGGCTGGAGTATGGGGTTGCGGCACTTGGGCCTGCAAAGACGCCTCGTATTCGGTAGGTGCCAGTACGTCGGGCTGCGGTGAACATCTCGTGCGCACCTCGTTGGCGCGCACCGTCGCGGAAGCCGTCTCAAACGCAAACTGCCCTACCACCAGCTTACATCGAGCGATGAACGTGGATTTTATTGGTGCACATTTGCAAAGTGAAATATATATGATTATTGTAATAAAAGTTGATAAAAGTAATTAACAAAAGTCTTTCCCTTTTTACAGATTCCAAATTTCTCAACGGACTCGAACAGAAACTTGGCGGTGTCATCGCCATACGATACTCGTCGCAAGAAGGATCGGGCGATTTTCTCTGGAGTCATTCAACAAATTCCATGATCATAGGTTATATGAACACACATGAGCGCGCGCCAATGGTAATATATCTCTTTTTATCTTTTTCAATAATTTCTTAGCTTCTAAGAATACTTTTTCACTTGCAGAGTCATATGTCGGTCTTACCGTCGCACGAAGTAGGTAAAAAAGCTGTTGTTGAAGGTGTCTGCTTCAAGCTATCAAGATCTGACACGGTTGAGTAACATTGTACATTTATCTCTAGATTACAAACAACTTTCCACCTTTTGTAAATGATAATTTATAGCTCCTCAAAAATATTTTGTACAAACTTTTTTATAAGAAAGTGTTAATTTGTTTTTCAAGTTTTATAATAGCACTACCAAAAATGTGAGAAATCCATATACAAGAAGTTTATAAGATACATGATGACATTTTTTGCTATAAGACTTTACATTGTTAACTGCCACAGTAATCGACGATAATTGTTTAACATACTCGATACAATAAAAATCTTGATGAACATGTGTTTAGAATTATTTACACTATACATATTCTTTTGTGACAACGATTTGATAAATACAAATTAACTTATCGATAAATACAAATATACATATAAAAAATGATTAACCTTCGCAGACTCCTTCCAAGGAGTCAATATAGTGACGCGAAGTGATTTTTTTTCTATTTCCATATAAAAATGATGTTACTAGATCAAAAACAATTAAAATTCGCCCCAAAAAAAACCCGTCCAAACACGTGAAAATTATTGTATATCTGTTATATGAATCTCATATATTGTTCCTACAAACTGCCAATGTTGTTGAATCGCTTTAGTTTCTCCGGGAACACGTCTTTGAAGAGCACCGGATCCGCGCGAAACTCAACCGATTCCAAAGGCATAGTTCCGTAAATCGAAGAGAATTTGTTTATGCACTGCGTACGTTCCATCATGTGCGTCAAATCTGCAGACAGCATCTCGGTATTGGTGCACTCGGGGCATCGGAATTTTTTCTTTGGCGTTACCTGCGAAAATTTCGTGCGATTGTGTCAGAAAATTTGTCCGCGCGTAATTCGAACCGAGCGTTCGCTCACCTTTATCGGAGCTTTTCCGGTGACATTCGCTACCAGAAAGTTCATTGCGATATCCTCGCAGTTCATGTGCTCGTCGACCCATTCCTTTATGTCACCAGGCATAGCTGTGGTGTACATGTAATTCCAATACTGGAAGAATTAAAATATTTATACCGAATAAATTTTTATACACTATATTCTCGCAAAATATTTATATACGTATAGAAACTTAACACACGGTGCATAAACGTAATATATACTTTGCTGAATTAATTGGTGTGATCTTAGCGAGGATAAAACAGGAGAGGATATTGGGTTACTTGCGGGAGAAACAAAATCCAAAAAATTTCTTATAACGGTATCTTCACAATCTGGAACACACATGAAGAAGATGGAGTTACAAATGTTACTGCGAGAGGAAACGAGAAAAACAAAAAAAAAAGCATGATATTTTTTACTTTATGATGAAAAGCCGCTCCCGTTAAAACCATGGAAATACTGTTTGTCCATTCGCTCTCGTATTTCCAACAATTGGTGCTATTGTCCCACATGTGTATGCGGGACGGAAAGCCGACAATTCTGTCTGGAAATTCTCTCCACACCTAAAAGTGAGATAAAGCGAAATTTAGTCTCTTATCTCGAAAACAAACGTCATTAATATATTGTGACATTGAGAGATCGCACCACAAGTGCATATGCTCAAAAGTCACCTCATAAGCAAATTCAACTTCGTCAGTAGTTAACATAATGATGTCATCGTCTATCGACAATACCGCTTCAGTTTCGATCTCGTCGTACGGATAAAATCGATTGGACAATTTATTTTCCTTCGTTTGAATCACTTTTAGCGGTTTGCTCACTTTCGGCCATCTTGACGCTGCAATTTTGAATCCGAACGCGTATGTATTTGAAACACGGTAAAAAAAAAAAAAAAAAACGAATAGATAAGCGAAATTAAATTCTAAAATTTCTCACAATGTGGCGGATTTTTATGCTGATTGTTCCAAATGACTAGAACTTTGGACAGACTCGGCACCTTCACGAGTTTGTTAATCAGCAGAAACAGCAATTCCACCCTGTCGTACGTCAGTATTACGGCAGTGAATCCGCGTGTTTTCGGAGCGGTTACTGGCAAAAAGAGCGGCAAGGGTTTTCCCTGCACGTTTAAAAATGAAACAATTGATTACGAAGTTCAGCTCCTTTTTTATATCAGTTTTTTTTTTTTTTTACCCACTTTTCTTCTACCCACTTTGTAAGGCGGTATGTTCCAGTACGTGTAATCGCGGGTCAAATGCGGAAATACGCGATCCGCGAGTATTTCCAATGTGGTTTCCGTGATCTTCTCCATCGAACTGAAATAACGATCGTATAACCAAGCGTTCTGTTCCTGCATCTCTGCGATACGCTGGCGGGATATCTTCTTCAGTAGTTCTATCGTTAATAAGATGTCAACTTCACGCACAAAAACAACAGACCTGTCGACATTTTAGAGGTTTACAAACAATACGCCTGTTTAAAGTAAATAAAATATAGAACGTCATAGAAAAAAAAAAAGCAATAAGAGACTCCGATTTATGAGCATGTCTTACTTTGTCCAATCGATCACATCGTGAAACGGCATCACTAAAGAGTCAGCTATAATTACAGGTATACAACCAGCTGTCATTGCGTCCAAAAGCGCGCTCTGAGCAAGTCTGGCGCCACGGATTATCAAACAAAACGTTGCTGACTGCAAGTAAAAAAAATCCTTTCTATTTTGTTTTCTACATAATACTGATGACAAAACGATCATAAATAATATTTGTAGTAATAAGTTTACTTGCAGAATATCAGGATACTTGTATATGTTATCTTCCACGCAACGTATTGTATTATTCATTGGATTGAAATGCAAACAGGGACCCAACATTAGTAAGTCCTTTGGATACGTGGTTTTTAACTCTATTAGATCTTGTTCAAAGGCAGTGTTAATGTTGATTTGCGAGGATATTGCCAACCATATTCTAAAATGGAAAATATTTAACATCAAATATGTTGCAGTAAGAAGTGACAAATGTGAGACATTACCTCATGGTACTGTGATTTGTCTTGAGATTGTTTACAAGAGGACTGTAAACTGGTAAACTAATATCAAACCCAGGTCTGTGTGTCAGGGATGACATTCCAGCACCAGCAATCATTGCTCTTCCTACTGGCACGTCAATGACAGTATTGTAGTCTGGCACACTTCCAGGTACCATATTAAAGATTAAGTGATTCTCTCCTTTGTTCCAACTTCAAACAGATAGCAATATCATCAATTTATTTAATAAAAAAAAAATAAACAACAAAGAGCTCTATCAGACTAAAACTTACAAAGGCAATGATCTCAGTGCCTGTGAAACTTCTTGAAGCTTCAGTCTGTTCTGATTAAGAGTGTCAATAGAAGGAACAAAAATACAAGCTTCATACGGATTAGGAGTATAAAATTTGCTGCTGACAATGGTGTTTAAAATTTGATAAAACTCTTTGGTCATCTGATTGGTTATAGGTCTACCCATTGAGTCCAAGTATACTTTAGGTGGATAGACATACACCAGAAGCTTGTTCCCCTGACTTCCGCATCGATACACATTAAAACAAGTAAAATATGTGCAAGAAGAATTGGTGACATCCGCCGCCGCCGAATTGGCAGGTAATGTTTGAGTGGGTAAAACATTCACATTGCTTAATGTTATGAGTACATGTTCAGAATGCTTCTGCGTATTGCCAAATTTGAAAATGTGGTACACCGAGATCAGTACAATGAACAACGTAAATAGTAACAAACAGATCACGAGAATGTTGTGATAATGATACGAGATTTTGTTGCTTTTGTGTGATATACGTATTGGCAGCACCATTTCTTTTTTATGTATTTTGGAAAATAAATTGAAAAAAAAAATAAAACGTGACGTTCGAATCTCAAACGTTACGAATCGTAATATTTAATTTCCAAAAACTTTTCTATCATCTCTCTGTATATATTCGACGCAAAAAGCACTCATCGTTAAATGATCAGTGCATGAATGCAGCAAACACGTCATTGCACAGATTGTATCACATACTTCTATGAATGATCGTAACCCGTAATTATAAGAAGGTTATGTATATTTACAAATCAACATTCCTTTGCTCTTTTTGTTCTTTTCTACTACACTCTCGAGCTGAACTCTGTGAAAAGTGCGCGCACAAAATTAAAACGTTATTAAAACGGAACAACTTTAATTGAGCATTCTCCTATACTCCCATGTATCTTCTGTTAGTGATCTACCGCGGCTTTAGCGCAAAGGTTGAACCCAGAGGTTGCGAGTTCAAATCGCTTGCTTTAGGATTTTTCTCGGTTCCTTTCTGCCGATTGCGTATCGTTTTATTTTTTTCGTGGGAGAAATGTCTACGCATTTCTCAAGGTCCTGGGAAAGGGTTTAGGAAGAGACACATGTGAGACTCGCACCCACTAAAACCCCCACGATGTGCCTGGCGTTTGAGAACGGGCCCTGGAACTCCCTGTCGGATTCTGCCAGGGCTCTCCCTCGCGCCTCTCCGGACACACGAAGGGAGGATCACCTACCCTCTGTAATTACTAACACTGGCAGCGGGACAGAGCACACGCTGCCCCAGATTGGGGGACCGTGTCCAGGACGAGTCCGAGTTCCCACTCTGACTCGCCAGTCCTCCGAACTGTATCAGACTTCTAAGTACTGCCAAATTAGCAGTATTAAAAGGTATTGATAGCCCCAACAGCAGAGCGATCGGATTCTAGACTGGCGAAACCCTCGCCATTTATGTTACAAGTAATGATATATAAAAGTTTAAATAAATTTTTATTTTTTTTGATATATATGCGGGGGTAATTCTCTTTATTCTCGATTGAGTCCACGCATAAATGTATGCGTAAATTACAAAAGAGATGTAGCATGACGAAGAAATTACACTTCGGTTTCTTCCAAAGTTTTCATGAACGAAGCCTTCTTCTGCGCTACGTTGTTCTTCCTTTCTGAAAGCGACAATTTCGCGCGATTCCATCTCTTCTTGACAGGTTCTTTTTCTCGCGTGATCTTCTTGTGTACCGGATCAGCGCGAATCTTCTCATGAGCTTTTTTATAGATGTTTTCTATCTGTTAAAAACAAAATTTGTTCGTTGCGTTATATCTCAATGCTCGCTCTGCGGGCGTAATTTTAAAAAGGTGGACGTGCGTGGATTAAAATGAATATAAAAACACGTAAATGTTAATTTATACGATTTGCTTACGTCATTTGCCGATATGCCGTTACTGATGTACATCGAGAACTGTCTCTTGAAAGCTTCGTCGTCTTCTTCTTCGAGAGTTTTCATGTAGTTCGCGACATGCTGGCCAAATATATGCTGTCTGTGCACATCAGCGTTGAACGACTTCGTTTCATTGTCGTAGCCTGGAAATCTCTTGGTGCTGCGCGAAAACAAAAAAAAAAAGACAACATTAACGTAACGAACGTTCAAGTTACACGATGTAACATTTGATGAGCGATATCAGTAACACGTTCTAATCTTGTATTATTTTTGTAACCACATCGTCATTGTAAAACACAATGACGAAAGTGAATTACAAAAACTTCATATGACGCGCATGTGCTATGAAATCATCACGTCAGACATTTATTGCAAATAACAAAAATTTAATTTTTCTGTTTTATTTGTGTTTTTACCTGTGAGGAATATTCAGGCCACCGTCAACTGCACCTTTCATGGCGCCGAAGACACGTGCACCGGTTGTGGTACGCATTAATCCTGTGTCCAGATAACATCTGAACGCGCTCGGACCCTTTGCCAAGTCTTCGACATTGTACTCGTCACCGGTCACCTCTGGTGTGCCGGTATAAAACGTATCCAATCCCAGCTTATTGAGAAGCTGCCAAACAAAAAACCTGATGTTTAATAACAATCGATCTCACGATGCTGTCTAACAGAGATGGTTGATGTATTATCAGGTTACATATACAGGGAACAAACAATTTTCTCATCAGTGTAACATCAAAGAGAGCTGAGTGGATCATCATAAGTAGCATCGAATCAAATCTTTAGACAAATTTTTTTAGAAAAAGAGAAAGATATCTCACCCTTCTGGCCAAGAGCAGACCAGTGCAGTAGGCAGATGCGTAGTTGGTGAGGCCTACTTTGACTCCATACGAGGGGAGCTCGTGACTGTAGGCAGCGCATATAATTCTATCACCTTCAATTCTCGAATAAGCAATCTTGAAAAACAAATATACAGTCAGCTTTATAAAAATAAGCCAAAAATTACAAAGTAGTTTTTTTAACAAACTCAATTTACTTAAATGTAATTTTTATATGATTTATACCTTTTACATATAATGGTGTTGCTTGTAAGACTCAATTTACCTGACATGTAATGTCCTTATTTGAGAGACGTACAATCAGCCTGTACTTGGGTGTATTGTACTTATTTTTATCCTGAACAGTTAGTCTCTTGCGAGCATAATAATCCGTTTTCCCTAGACGACGCCTCTTGAATTTTACTTGATATCGTTTGAAGTATTGTTTGTTTTTTACCACCTTAACAAAACCCTACAAGGAAATATGGATATTGTATTAAAAAAATAGAATAATGTTCAAAAATTCTACTTAAAAAGTTACATAGTACAATTTTTTATCGAAAACGTCTACTCGCGTCTAATCGTAAATTTACTAAAAAAAAACGTTCAGATTTAAAATTCTCAAATCATTGAAGATATTTCTTAGATTTTATGGTACATATAATACGCGTCAAAAGAAAGTTACATAAAACACATGGAAGAAACGTTCGGATACGTAGCAATGAACAAATCCAACGACAAAATAAGCATCTCGCGTCTCATCTTATTTCCGATACGTGATAAATATAGATTGCAATTTATATTCTTGAACAAGTCACATATTAAGAGAAAAAAATTGGTTACCATTGTTACAATTAATTCGGAAAGTGCGTTACGGACGAGTCCACTGTTCACCACGAGCCGGTCGAGTTGTGAAAGAGCGAATGGCGGACGGAAGCGGGTCAAGATGATGTGGTCGATTATTTCCTTTGTGGCAGCACCGAGTCCACAACTGCTCGCTAGAGTCGAACTAACAAAAATCACGACCAATCGCATTTAATCACCTTAACAAATTGATCGGTGCGATTGGATACCAAATTGGAATTTATCCAATCGGAGCAAGTTGTTCTGGTTTTTGTGATGAGGAATCAACCAATCACAGCGCTGCGTTTGAAAAAATTTTCAACGCGCTGCTGCAACGACGTTCAACGTCGGCAGTTCACCCTGTGTTCCGATTCCCCACCCGAGTGGCGCATCCGAGTGTCATTTTATCTCTGTTTCATATCTAGTTAGTGATAAAGATAAAAGTATATACCCGGGTGAGGAATCGGAACATAGCTCTGTCAGTGAACTTCGAAACCGAAAAGATTTGCGAACTGTTGCGAACGCCGCTGCGAGAAACATGGCCGCGGTGACAAGCTGGTGACACTTTGATATGGGATGGGCGTCGCGTTAAACGAGGATCGCTGTTTTTTTTCCTTCCGCCGTAATGATAATGAATAGTGATACCGCGGCAAATAAACATGGCGATCATTTGATACCGCAGTCGATTACTTGCCTGTACGAGGAGCAATTTCAACCGCTGCTCTTACTTGTGCGCGAGAGCGTGCAGGGCTAGCGTTACGCTTCCCCGTCTCCGTGTACAATACCGACTTCCTCGTGTGAATCACGGAAGAAGCGAACGCGCGTATCGCGGCAAAACCATCGTACGCTGCGCGTGTGCAATAAATCGCGTCCTCGTCGGTTATATCGTCGTCGACTGGCCAAGTAATCCGGAGTTTGCGGCGCGGTAAAATCCAGAGAAGAGCGTTGTGTATGTTAAGATGGCCCGGGAATACGATCATCTGTTCAAGCTGCTGATTATAGGCGACAGCGGTAAATACATCACGCTCTTCGTTTTGGAACCATAGTTTTAAATTTTTTGTATCAACACTACTATCTTTTTTTCTATCTTGTGTATTTTTGTATTTTTGTATTTTTGTATTCTTTAATTTTTTTGATTATTTTCGTCTCGATTTATAGCGAAAAATTAAAAAAAACAAAAAAAAAAAAATCAACAAAAAGAGTCTCTCCTGTGTTGTGATACTTCTCCGTGTGAAATTGGCCGCTTGTCATTGTGCAGTTTCAACGCTACTTGATTAAATGATGAGTCTGATGACAGACATGTTCTACTGGCCATTCACTCAAGCCATTGATACAGCTTTAGATTCTATAATACGAAGATTGTTCTTCTCTATGTGTGCGTGTGTACGATAAATTTAGAGCAATAGTGACAGCGATACGAATCATGATAAAGTTAAGCACAAGATAATAAAGTGATAAAGAGCAGACTTGACAAGAGTCCACTTGTCTCCATTTCCAGTTTCATAATTAGTTGTATCACCATCATAACAATTAACACCTCTACATATTTGTGTTTTATTTATTTCACTGCGTGTATGCGAATTTTATATTGTAATTTATTTATTTTATATTGTTAACACGCGATATTTGATATTTCAATTTTTTTGCACTTAAGTATCTGCAAATCTTTTCTGTGTATTGGAAAAACTGTGCAAAATCTTGATGTATGTGTGAAAAGTAAATATATCTTTGTTTTTTTTTTGTGTGTGTTCTAAGGTGTAGGTAAAAGCTCGCTGCTTCTGAGATTTGCTGACAATACTTTCAACGGTAATTACATAACTACAATAGGAGTGGACTTCAAGATACAAACTGTGGAAGTGGATGGTGAACGGGTAAAGCTGCAAATTTGGGATACTGCTGGACAAGAACGTTTTCGGACAATAACTTCAACTTACTACAGGGGGACGCACGGCGTTATTGTTGTGTACGATGTTACCAGCGGTGATACCTTCGCGAACGTTAAACGGTGGTTGCATGAAATCGATCAGAATTGTGATGTGGTTAACAGGGTACTCGTAGGAAATAAGAATGACGCACCTAATCAGAAAGTGGTGTTAACCGAAGACGCACAAAGATTTGCCAATCAAATGGGAATTCAGTTGTTTGAGACTTCGGCCAAGGATAACATCAATGTCGAAGAGGTACATTTTTCTTTCTTTTCTTTTTATTTTTTTATTTATTAAAACTAAGGTTAAATTTTAGAAATCCATTATTTTTGTTTCATCTCATTGTTTACTTATTGTGCAATACATTATTTTTTGTTGAATCATAACGCTACTCGCATGTTAAATAACGATTATATGATTTGTGTTTTTTGCTAAATAATTGTTTTGTTTTTTTAACGTGTTTCCTGCAGATGTTCATGGCAATAACACGGCAAGTATTACGGACCAAAAAAGAGCGTAAGGAGCGGCAAGCCATACAAACCAATGAAACAGTCAACCTGAGGAAAAGCACAAAACAGCATAGGAAAAAGTGTTGTTAGCAAGCGTTACGCATAAGTACACTCGACTCTTTTTATTTGAAAACCATTATTATTAATTTGATACGACAATTAGGACAGAATAAAACAGAGAGCATGTGTTAAGTATCAAAAGCGGACATCAGACGCTGGAAACACCCTGTTACATATATATATATATCTCTTTTGACATCAACTGAGTTTTTGTATTTCACATGATACCTAAGATTTGTATTCTAATTAAAATATACTTTTTGACATGTCTACTTTTGGTATGTCATGTTTAATAGAAGAAGACATACATCACGAGCGAACATGTAGGGTTTTATTTAGCGTAAACAATAATTTGCGCGGCTAATCGCTTTTTTACGATCCTCGATCTTTTTTTTTCCTCCTGTGTGTGCTGTATTTAAGAAAAAGCGGCCTATTCATCTGTAACATTTTACGGTAACTCTTTCACACACACATACACACACATATATATAAATATATAAATATACACATGTGTATTCATACGTACGTGATATCAAAAGTTACACGAACGCATTCCGCATTATGTAATTGTCAAGCGAAACGCAAGTGTCTGCTAATCTCGTCTTTACAATTATTTTTTTAGTCGTGTAAAATTTATATATCATTGCGTATAAAATTCGCTGCGTTCAACCACATGAGTTACCATATTTTAAAAATAATTCGTGTTTATGAAAAGCGAAATAGGATTTTAAGTGTCTTCTTGAACAAACGAACGACAAACGGATATTATTAGATAGTCCGAATAATTCTTAGGATATATTTTTTTTAGTAAAATTAAGGTTCCTGTGTGGTTTATACATGACGCTTTTCAATTTTCACTCGATTAAAATTTCGACATTTTAAAAAGTTGTGAAAATGTAACAACGGTATGCAGCAGTGTGTGTTACACAACTGGTGAACGAAAGAAGTGCTGTGTTTTCCAAAACAAAAAAAAATCGCTTTCCCGACTAAAATTTGGTATATCGTATTATACAAAAAACTTACAAAAAGTTGGAGGAGCAAAATCAATTGAAAAAAAAAAAAAATAATAATTTAGAACATTTACAAGTGATACACGTTTATACAACATGCAATCGTCAAGTGTTTTGTGATCGATCGTGTATGTAAAATTTGTGTGCTTTCTCTCTCAACTTTTTCTCAAACTTTCGCTCCATGTGTATCGGCTATGTGAAATTTGAAACAATTCATATGTACACACGAGATATGATTAGGAAACTTTTTTTTTTTAATCATTTATAAGCAGGATCCAATAAAGTTGACTTGACTTGATTAACGGAATGATGAAATTTGTCAATGTAAAATACATCAATTATGTACATTATTACTTCCAAAACAACATACGCGCGCTGTAAAAAAAAAAAAAACTATTCTTCGCCATTAATAACGAAAATTTGTGTGAAATTTATGTAAATTCACGCGTACGTGCACTTTCGTTATTAATCGCGTTTACATTTTGCATTTGTTCTTTGTGTACAATTTTCGCGCAAATTTACACACTTCTTTTTTTACAGTGTAGCATATTTTATAGTCGTACGTCTCTAAAAAAAAAAAAAAAATAAAAATAAATGTGTTACGCAGTATTATGTCTGTAATTTTGTATGTATACGGTCTATAACGTGCATCTCTATATGTACAATTAGCGACTCCTGTGTAACGAGAAACACAAATAAAGTGAGAGAAACTTATATCTTTGAGAAAAAAACAAAAACGTCCGAATATTTTATATATAAATCGATACAACGTACACAAACGCGCGCGCGAGTGTTGTGCAGATATTTTAAATTGTCCGCGTGCATCTGCGACGAACACACACACATATGTGCTACTACGGTGAAATGTTTATTGCAGAAGGGGTAGATAGCAAAGACGCGATGATAAAATTTGTAAATCGATCGGTTATATGTCCAGCTATACGACAGAAGCTGTCTGTATTAATCTGTGATAATAGTTAAGATAATGTCGCCAGCTGCCACTGTAATACCGCTGCATGTACCATCCCCATCACTCTCTCCCGTGTAATCGCTGTAATTGATTGTCATTTTATATTTTTGTTTCTCTTTTTCTTCATCATTTACCAATTTACTACATATCCTTAGAGGCGATCAAGCGACATCTCTTACAACGTGTACATATAATAATTCTCGATAGTTGCCAGTTTTAGTGGCATATTCACGAGGTGAATTTCATTATCGGCATACATTCAAATCTTGTTTACTGTTATATATACAACATGATATATAGTTACGACGTTGTAATATTATATTATATATTATTATATACATACATACAGATTATAAATAAACAACAATCTACATATGTATGTATCCGATAAATATTTGCTTTTGTATTTTGCACGCGCGTGTTTGCATTATCCTCTTACGTCCTCTTTTTTTTTTTTTACACACTTCTCTTTTCGCACACTCCTCCCGCCTCACCTTCTCTGTCTGCTGTGCAGCCGATTAGCGTGTATGTGTGTGTGTGTGTGTGTGTGTGTATGTGCGCGCGCACGCGCCTCTCTCTTTTCTTTTCCTCTCTCTATTTTGCATGTTACGTGTATATAAAAAATTACAGACATAACAGATCGCTGTTAAAAATCGCAAAACTTTTTAAATTAGCAAAACGAAATGTATGTGTTTCAAAATTACAAAAAATTACTCCGCAATATTCGTGCAATTGTATTGTAACATTCCTGAAAAAGTTTCCAGCAATATTTCGTGCTCTGGGAGAATATTTATCGTTCGAATTTCTAGAGTTCGAAACGCAAGAATTTTTGTACAAAAAGAATTCGAACAATCGCGTACGTCTGTTTGTACGGACTACGTGCCAACAATAAGATAGGATTATCACGTGTCTCGACCTTTGAGCTTCCGAAACAACACTTTGAAAGTGAGAAAAATCGTTCCGCGATGATCGCCCAGCGTTGAATACGTGTGTTATTCGCGATTGTGCGATAAAAAAAGACCGTTTTTGAGCACGTATACGGTATCTTTATTTTACAACAATCGATCAATAAATTGCGCGTGATTTTTATTGACCCGATTAATCAGTGTAGTTAAAGAAAAAAGTAGAATAGAATGAATCTTACATAACAGAATGCGAGATATGAGGGAAATTTGCATGAAGCACGAGATTGCGACATACGCGAGCAATTTGTTATCGTGCTTCTTGTTTTATCGGAGAAGACGCGACGAGGAAAAAAAAACAGTTCCGACAATTATTCGCTAATATCGGACACGAATCGACGACGACACACTCTGAGGTTTCGGCAGGCGAGGTAGGTAGTCTTCCGCGCAACGTGGTCCGGGATACATGGTGTGTGTGCGCCGTGCGTGTCTCCTCCTCGCCCCTGGTCCCTCTCGCCCTTCCATCATGCAACGAAAACTTAAAAATGCCGCCGCAGCGCAACCCGAATCGATATTCGCCGGTGCGGTCACGTGACGCGGTTTCGAGCGCGGCCGGCCAATCGGGCGTCGCGACGAGCGAGACTCGCTCCGCCTGTGCCCGACGGAGCGACGACACGACATCTGCATTCGCATACGCGGAACAACAGTCCGCGACTGGGAGCGCACTGGTTAACTTCACAGTTTGGCGATGAACCGCTCTGCGGGCGGTGGATACGAGTGACCCCGAGTGACGACGGCAAAAGCATCGACGTCCGACGGGCGTTCAACAACGACGAGAAAAGGACGGAGGAGAGGACGTTGCGACGCCAAACCAACGTTAACGTGCGAGCGAGATTTGTCCCGTTTTAACGCGCGTTGGTGTTGTGCTTTTTGATACCGCATATATACACACACACACGTACGTACACAATACACACACGACAACGGCATCGTGTGTGCGTACGTCTGCCGCCTGTACAGTCCTATCGTCTGCCGGAAGAAGCGCGGGGCCGCAACTCGCGCGCGTAAGCGACCCGTATATGCTCGTATAGTAGTCGCGTCTCGCGTGTAAAAAAGCGAGTGAGCCAGTCGTCTCGGCCACGGGACAAAGAAAGAGAGAGAGAGAGAAAGAGAAAGAAAGAAAGAAAGAAAGAAAGAAAAAGAGAGTAGAGGAAGTGATCGCAGTGTGCGCGACGAAGATCGAGTGCGCGAGCGAGTGTAAGAGGCGAGGTGGGGCAGGCGGGTGTAAGAACGAGAGGAAGAGCGCGAGCGAAGCAAGACAGAGATATATATATATATATATATACACACATATATATATATATATATATGTATATACATATATAGTGAGAGAGAGAGAGAGGCGGTGACTCTACGTAAGAGAGAGAGAAGCGGACACGCAAAGGAGGAACGGTGAGTCCAGACTGGCTACACGATATAAGGTGTTTCTATATGTGTCGCGCGCGCGAGAGAACGATGCTTTCGTAAAAAAATAACTTTCAGACGAGTGCCGCGTGATACGCAAAGTCGTGTGTCATTCTGTTTTTTTTTTTTTTTTTTTTTTTTTTTTGTATCTCTCGTTTTGTTCGTTTTGCGTGTGTTTTGTTGGTCTCGTTGACGCTCTTCGATCGCGCGACGAGGACTTGCTCGTTTTTCCCTCCCGCCTCCGTTGGTGACAACGATCACGTTGTGTGGATCGCGCGCTTCGTCGCGATCCGCCGCGTCAACGCGGTGATATCCACGCCGCCGTGTGGCGGCGCCGATCGATAGCCGCGATCGATATCGGTATTCTCGCGCGCGTGCGTGCGTAGAGCTCTCGCATAATATCGCGTCAAATCTTGCCGCACGCACGGGAAAAAAAAAAAACTTGTGCCGAATGAAATTACCGAACAAAAAGCCACGTCGTAATCTACTTCAAAGTTCGGATTGAGTCGAGGAGTAAGAAAAAAAAAAAAAAAAAAACGGCGACGCAGAGAAGAGGAAAAAAAAGTAGGAAAAACAAGAGACGAATTCAAGATAGAGGGAGATAATCATCGCGACAGACAAGGACACGACGAGCACTCGACGGTTGCTCGCTCGTCGTCGATCGTCGTCGCGGCGGAGTTGCCGCGCGCAAAGCATCGACGCGTGTCGACGAGATCACGGAACAACGACGGTGCGGCCAGTAGCAACAACGACGGCGGCGACGAGGACGACGACGGTGGGAGCAGCAGCAGCAGCAGCAGCAGCAGCAGCGTCAACGGTATGGACGAAAGTCAGCTGTTGATGACAGAACTTCCGGCGCCGTTGACACCGAGTGGCGGTCGCGGTGGCACGACGTTGCTGCATCGTCCGGGTCATTTCTACCACCTGCATCAGCCGCACCTGGCGATACCGACGCCACAGAGTCAGGCGATCCTCCAGCACAACTCTACGGCACCGCATTACACCACGGACGGGAACGGTGCCTGCGGCGGCGGCGGCGGCGGCGGCGGTGCCGTAGGAGGTGGAGCAGCCGCGGCTACCGCTGGTCTACCGGCCTACGCGATCGGTCAGGGCGGCAGCATCTCCTCGCGGCACCAATTGCATCCACATCAGACGCATCCGCGTGGCAACGCGACGTCTCACGGCCCAATCGCCAGCACTCATGTGTCCTGCCTGTATCCGGAAATACTCGCGCTAATTTTCAGTTACTTGGATGTCCGCGACAAGGGACGTGCCGCGCAGGTATGCACCGCGTGGCGCGACGCCGCCTACTATCGTTCGGTCTGGCGGGGAGTGGAGGCGCGACTACACCTGAAGAAGCAGGCGCCAGCGTTGTTCGCCAGCCTGGTGCGACGAGGCGTTAAGAGGGTACAGGTGCTGTCGCTGCGACGCAGCCTCAGCGACGTGCTCAAGGGTGTGCCGAATCTCGAGGCGCTCAACCTGTCCGGCTGCTACAACATCACCGACAACGGTCTCATGAACGCCTTCAACCAGGAGTACCCGTCCCTCACCGAACTCAATTTGTCGCTTTGCAAGCAAGTGACGGACGCGTCTCTCGGTAGGATAGCACAGTTTTTGAAGAATCTCGAACACCTCGAGCTGGGCGGTTGCTGCAACATTACCAACACCGGTCTGCTGTTGATCGCGTGGGGTCTCAAGAAACTGAAGCGGCTGGATCTGCGAAGCTGCTGGCACGTTTCCGATCTGGGTATCGCGCATTTGGCAGGTCTGAATCCGAATGCCGCGGATTGCTCCGTCACGGGTAACCTCGCCCTGGAACACCTGAGCCTACAGGACTGCCAACGGCTGAGTGACGAAGCACTGAAGCACGTGTCACTCGGCTTTACCACCCTCAAATCCATCAACCTGTCGTTCTGCGTGTGCATCACGGACTCCGGCGTCAAGTATCTGGCGAGAATGTCTAGTCTACGCGAGCTGAACCTGCGCTCGTGCGACAACATCTCCGACATCAGTATGGCCTATCTGGCCGAAGGCGGTAGTCGCATCACCTCCCTCGACGTATCCTTCTGCGACAAGATCGGCGACCAGGCGCTCGTGCACATCTCCCAGAGCCTGTTCAATCTCAGATCCTTATCCCTGTCCGCGTGCCAGATCAGCGACGAGGGCATCTGCAAGATCGCCAAGACTCTGCACGACCTCGAGACCCTCAACATCGGCCAGTGCAGCCGTATCACCGATCGGGGTCTGCATACCATAGCCGAGAGCATGAGGAACCTCAAGTGCATCGATCTGTACGGCTGCACCAAGATCACCACCAGCGGTCTCGAGGTGATCATGAAGCTACCGCAGCTCAGTACATTGAATCTTGGTCTGTGGCACGTGCGGTGATGGCTTTTTTCGTGCCAGTGTGTTCGGAGCGAACGGCGTTATCAGGTCGACGGCGACACTTCGTGGCGACTATTCAAGAACGTCGTCTTCACGCGCATGTTCCTGCCGCAGGCGGTAAGTTGGTTGTTCCTGTTCGGGATACGAAGTCGCCCGAGCGTCTTCGACATCGGCATTGTCAACGTCTACGGCGAATAGCGTTAGCGTTTTTCCCGCTCGAGACGGGAAATTTTTGGGTTTAATTCCTTAAGAAGGATGCGAGGAGAAGGATATAGAGAGAATAGAGAAGAAAAAGAAGAGTGGGTAGCGCTTGCTTTGGAAAGTCAACTTTTTTGTTTTCAAGAATGTAATATTGTTATTTAAAAAAAAGCCAAAAAACAAAAAAAAATGAAAAACATTTCGTCGATAACTCCGCCTTGCGATGATATTTTCAGTAATTTAAACTGTAGGTCATCAAGAACTGAAAAGTCTTTAACTAGAAACATCACAGACTGGCGTCCCGTGAATCTACCAACATTTTAATTTTTTAATTTTTTTTTTTTTAACCAAAGTAACGGTCAAAACATGTCGCAAATAATGTCTGAATTATGCTGATATTCGAACAAATGATGTTATATATACAAGATGTGTATATATACAAGATATGTATGTATACAAAAAATTCGGCAAAAAACGTGCTTCTAGTAAGCAGACAAAACCGAGTTGTACCGAGTCTCTTTACCATTTTTTAATAATTAATAAATGATTTGTTAAAAAGATCCTCTTGATACGATTTGCAGTTAGTGTCGTTGGTTAGCAAAAAAAATATTATAACTGGAGAGAAGTGGCCAAAACGTGGCAAAAACCGGATCTTCGATTCAATAAACTTCTTTATTTTACAACATTTTTTAACAAATGTTTTGACCCTAAATTTGGGTCTTCTTCAGTGTTAACAAAATTTGTAGTTATAGGAAGAACTCGTCCATCTCTGCTGTGTATAGCCGCTAACAATATATAATACTAACGTCTCGGGGATGACATTCCGAAAAAAAAATATCGTAATAATTTAAATAGTGTAATAATGTTTGGTTCTTGATGATCCGTAGAGTTTAAATTACTTAATAGTACCATTATCCTGTTTGAGAGAAAAAATGAGATTTCCTTCTCCATAAAGCGCCGTCTCGAGCGTCGTGGTGTATGTACACGTATGTACATTCTTCCGATCGTGATTCGCGGATGTCACGTATCAAAGACGATCGATCGTTAGATTAATTCAACGCTTTTCGATTTGGTTTCTTAACCCGATCAAAAACTCGCAAAAATTTAGGAAAAATAAAAAGCACATCGCGGTGTGTCTCTGCGTTGTTTCTCTCTCTGTTCGCTCGCGTTCGCGTCTAGAACGTCAGAACTGACGACCGCTCACACGCGAAATGACACGTAGAAAACGTACACGTCATTGATATTAATTTGCATCTAGAGTTTGATGCAATTTTTCTACAGGATTCGATGTATTTTATATATCATTTATTGGTGAGAAAGAGAGATGTCGATAAATCGATAAATAATGATTAAAAAAGTTGTGTATCCTGCTATATAAACTTTGTTCCATGTGTAAAACATGTTTTGAAATTACGTTTTATTGCCTTTTTTTTTTATTTTTTTTTTATTTTTATTGTGACGTACCGAATTTTATTACAGTGCGTCAATTTTTTGTGTTTAGATACTTCAGATATACATATAATTGTGTGAATCAACTTTGCACATTGAAACTTATGAGCAAGATAAACTTATAAAATTGATTTTATATTATTTTTGTCTTATATATACATATATAGTCCAACCTCGATAACTCGAACCTCTATAACTCAAAAACCTCTATAAGACGAAAATTTTGTTCGTTCCCTTCCGCTCCGCGGAAAGGAAAAAGGAACTTCGATAAGTCGAAACTTTTACAATTCGAAGATTTTAGCTCTTCCCTTGAGATTCGAGTTATCGAGGTTTGACTGTATATTTATATTGAATTATATATATTTAGATATATATTTATTATATATAACTATTATATATAATACATACAATATATATAATATATATTTTTATCATAGATATTAATACTAATAATTATATTATATATTTAACAATATATAATAATTACAAAACTATGTATTAATTCGGAAATCGCAATGTTATAAGTTACATTGTTTTGTCAATTAAGTTTGATCAATTTCACACCTTGAAATTTAAAAAAGTGGCATAAAAAATGTTTTACGATATATTTGAGTTAGAATTAAATCGGTGCTGGACGTTTGTGGCGGTTCTCTTATTAGAGGAAAAATAGTAAAAAAAAAAAAAAAAAATTACGGTGTACTCGTAATTTCGATCCGGACACTCCATATACCAGGTTCTGTTATAGAGGATTTTAGCTTATCGAAGTAAGCTGGCCTCATCCGCTTTGATCGCTAATTCTTACGAAAAAAATTTGCAATAAGACAAAAAACTGACAAAAAACAAAACATTTTAAATTTTGATGATCAGAGCAAACGTGATCTACTTTGTCGGAGGAGGGGATTTCAGCTTAACATAAAAATCGGAATTTTTTCTTCACGAGAGGATTCGAACTCGAGATCTTCAGACGATCATAACGCGAGACTCAATAATACGTGTTCAGCACCGATAATACTGGAAGGTGAATTTCTCGAAACACAGCCATTACCGCGTTTCTTAATATATTCGTGCGTCGTCGTCTATTTCGTGTAGGTCATGTGTCGGTGCACATGCCTTCATATCCAACGCGCACAGGGGTTGCCAGACAATGAGTAACGAGTCTTTATAGGAGGGCTAGGGTCGACGGAAGAAAGAGGGAGAGAGAAAGTAAAACAGGGAACGATAGAAAAAGGAAGGTTTTTCAGGGGGAAGTCTCGGGTCTCTCCAATCGATTACAATAGCACCTAACCTAGGGTAGCGAGAGAAGACTCATGGCGAAGATCCCTGTCTGCTTCTCTCCCTCCTTTACATGGTCCCGAGAGGGTGCTCCCTCGCCACGACAGGGGTCGACCACACAGACGTTCTATCCTTCTTTCTAATTTTCCGTCCAACTTACAGAAAGAATAAGATAGAAAAAGAGAGTAAAAGAGAGTGTGTTTTTTTTATCTATCATTTATTTTATTTATTGCTCCGAACAGGTTTTCCGTATTAATTCGCGAAAGTTTTCTACTTCTTGAGAAAGGAATTTCCCGTATTAAATTACGCGTGAATCATTAATCCGTGTGATGGTTCATGGAGATAATAAAAATCACCTCAAAGGTATAACAAAAATTAAACATTAGTGAACGATGTCATGTCCGAGAACAGAACTGTTCTAAACTTTTTAATAAAGAACTCTAGAACTTTTTGAAAGAGGGACTGTAAAAACTTATTTGTTGGAAATTGACGAAAAAAAAAAGTAGAGCCACCCTACGTGGCCCCACGACGTGCAGCTTCGATTGGTTAAAAAAAAAAAAAAATGAGAAGCGGTTGCTTCTTATCACTTCAACTAATCAAAGCTGAACGTGATAATGCTGTCTCAGTGTGAAAGTGCCGGCTAAAAGTCGACCCGAGTCACACTCTGGCGACGCAAATCTAATGGAAAGCACACAAATGATAAGTACCGGAGGAGTCGATTCGCGCGCTCGTTATGGCGTGCCTGAAGAAATCCACCACGTGCGCTACGCACACATCACTGTGAATTGCAACGTAATAATTTTTCTCTCGTGACGTATCCCGTCACGATTTTACCACAAACATTGTATAAAATTGCAATTTTTTTACATGTTTTCGAATTTTTTTAAATTTTATATTGTATAATCCCTTGACATTGTGGAATATCCCGCGCGTATTTCTCGAACTTTATACCAACACGAATTTTCTCGCAATGAACGTGTACGAGCGCGAGAGCAGAGGCGAGAGAGAAACGCAGAGATACGTAGAACAGCGACTATAAACGAAGAAAAAGACAAAAATGGAAAATCCAAAAGCGAAAATACTTTACTGGCTTAAGATATTTCCGTTGTTTATTGTTATAAGCTTTTATATTAAAAACAAAAAAAAAAGATAACGAATTTTCAGACGGAGGTGTTGTTTTAGCGCGCCGAATTCGTAAAATAATAGCAATATTTCGTGACACGAGAATGTGTGTGCGCGTGCATGTATGTGAGAGAGAGAGAGAGTGTGTGTGTGTGAGAGAAGGAAGAAAAATACATACCAGATACTACTGTGTTATATACCTGCGTATTAATTAATAAACAGCTGCGTATAGATCATCGATCGAGGCGTAGCGGTGATATCGCGTACGTACACGTTGATCTACTGAGTTTTTTTTTTTTTTTTTTTATTGATACGGTTACGTTTGCATACGTTGGACATTTATTAATTTTTCATTTCTCGTTGATTTGCACCGATGCTACTTCTGCCATTTGCGTCCGATGAAGAGACGATTATTTATAATAAAAAAAAAAAAAAAAAACCGACGTCGTTATCGCATTGTCATTTGCGTAAAGTCACACACGTACAAGGTATCCCGGAATTGTCTCTCGAGCGTATACAAGAGCTATCTGTTGCAAAATTTACGATTGTCTCCTTATCGATAACGCCGTGAGTCACAGTCACATTGCTACACTCGATATCTCGGTTGACACGAAATTTAAATTCCTTTGCGTATATACGGACGATAAATAAATTTTTTTTTACACAATGTTGGAACTTATCGTCTGAATGTGTACGCCACCGGAACAATTCCGGAATATTGTGAGTAGAACGCGTGTGAAGTTATAATTTTGTTTTTGGTTGTGACACAGGGAAAAAAAGTCGATTATCGTCGACATTGTTATCATTGTTAGCAGAGGCGGATCTTTTTCACCACGTAAGACTCTTGTTTCTTGGTTACACGATTTGAAGTGAATTTAGGTTTTTTGCGGATGTTTTTTTGTAAAAAAAAAAAACAGATTTTTTATAATGAACAGACTTATATAATCATTTAACGAGTATTTAACGTGGTTGCATATCAAAATTTATAATAAATTAGCATGTATGCGTTGAGGTCGTTCTATATTAGTCGTAAAACTCAGTTGTATATTTTTTTTTATTTTTCTTCTATTTATATTTTTGTCTGTTGTATAAGATCATCATTTATTGCCCAATATTCCAGCTGTCAACAATAAGCCTATTGTTTAAACGTGCATACTGTTGAACAGTGTCGAGAGCACGGCGATAAATAACGAATGACGAATCGCAAGATATTTTTTTATGCTTCACGGAAAACACGATCGCTTGCTTGCGATTAATGCAAAACGACCTTTAACAGTAAATTGTGATTTCATCTGATTTTTTATTGCCGTTATTCCTGTTATCAGTGCAAGATTAATTGTTGTTTATTTTAAAAAAAAGTTAAAGAGAAGAAAATTATTGATATATCGGATGAACGAAAATCTAGTATTTATAAAAACGTATGAATTATTAAATTTTTCGAGAGATACACCTGCGCGGCTGTCTCTGGACAGAAAAGTTGTCCCTCAAAAACGAAATTTATGATCCCGAACGAGATTACGGTTGCCCCGTGGTTAAGGTCGTAACATAACTAGCAACTCTCGAAACATAAATTCGGAAATTCTTTTTTCTCCCGTTTCTCTTCGGACCTTTTTATATATTCGAATATAAATTTTTAAATATTTCTAAAAAAACTACATAAAATATTTATGTTTTCGTTACGTTGTACACTTGTTACGTCGACTGTCTGTGTGTTGAGTGATTAAAATTTCTTCTGTTGATAACCCTATATATATCCGCCGCCTCTGCCTCAATAGTTAGTTGTAGCAAGTAGTCTCAAACAGCGCAACCTTGACATACCACATACAAACGTTAACATGTCACACGCCGATCGCGAACAAACGCTTTTCGCAGGCGAATAGTTTAATTGACAAGATGCCAAATGCCAAATATTAGTTCTAAGTAGTTTGGTAAAACGAATTACTCGTTTCAGCTCGGTTTGCGCTGAGCTTCTCGACGAGCATCGCTGAAACAAACGTTTTTTTCCTTTTGTAACCGGCTTCCCGAATGTTTGTCAAAAAAAAAAAAAAAAAAAAACACTTTGCGCGACACTGATGACAAAATTTTATTATCTTTCGTATCTGGTTACGGCACGCAAGTTGATTGTTGTTACTCGATTTAATTTTTACGTCTAACAATATAACAGTCGTGCTGAGAAACAGAAGATATGCCGCTGAATCGGTCTACGCACGCAAGTCTCGCTTCGGGAATTCGTCAGGTTTCGGAGATCTTTCGCTAATCGCGCGATGCGCGATGAAAAATCAGCTAGCACGCAGCGGACTATATTTCAGACTCTCTACGATATTCTTCGAACATTAAGTAGAACTTTACAATTACGCGTGCACACTTACGCGCGCGCTCACGCGTGTATATAAGAAAAAAAAAACATATTGTATATGGTGCGTAATATGTGCGTATGCGAAAGAAAACACGAGTGGAATTCGGCCTGCTGATCGCTCTGTCCGTAATAGAGACACATGCACACAAACACACACACACACACACACACTGTAATTATGTGCATTGTAAATACTCAATTGACGAAGTACGTTAGACGAAAGACACACGTACGCATCGCGTAAACTGTAAATATTAAACGTGAAAAAGATATTTGTTAAATATAGAATATGTTACGTTTTTCAAGAATCCACCGGTGTTTTTTTATTCATGTCCCTTTGACCGTTCGCATTCCTGTTGCAGAGACAGTTCCTGTGAAACATTGCATTAACAGAAATGTCTTTATGTCTTCCTCACTCCTTCTGAAATATCCTGCACGTGTATAAAACATAGATCAGAAGATTCTTAACATCTCTCGTTTCGCGAATTCCAAGATGCGAGCGAGAAAAAAGAGGACGTGGAGGACGTACTGTTTTTGTATTACAAGTTGAAGTTAATACATCTCATATGTGTTACTGTCTCTCTCTTTG